TTTTTTTTTTTTTTTTACATTTGTTTAGCAATTGTAGAAAAATATTAAATTTTATTCTCTACATTCATTTGTAAGTTTCAAATAAATTCTGCTTTCGCCCACTGTGGCTTTGGCGCGTTGAGCGGAGCTACTTTTGCACTATCTGGCAACACCGCGGCAGGCCGGCAAAACAGCTGTGCGAGCAGTGCAGCAGCAACAATAAAAATAAAATAAAAATCGTTGGGCCACTGGCCAACGGCGGCAGTAATAAGAAGGAGGCAGAAAGTAGGAAAGAAAGAAAGGAAAAAATAGCGCTGCAGTTGCATAGGAACTGCGACTGCATTTACTATATAATCGGCATACTTAGATATATAGATATAGCGAAAATCGGCGATCGATCGTGACGAGACAGAGAGCAAACGTCAAACAGCAAGATGAGCAGCCAGCAGCGGACGGTGATTATATTCAAATCGGAATCGGAGAGCACGGATGTCTACGCGGAGACACTGCTGGCGCACAACTTTCAGCCGTTGTTCGTGCCGACGCTGAGCTTCGGCTTCAAGAATCTTGAACAGCTGCGGGCCAAGCTGCAGACGCCGGACAAATATGCGGGCATCATCTTCACCAGTCCGAGGTGTGTTGAGGCCGTTGCCGAGGCACTGCAGCTGGCGGAGCTGCCCAGCGGTTGGAAGCTATTGCATAACTATGCCGTCGGCGAGGTTACGCACAATCTGGCCATGAGCACGCTGCAGCAGCTATTCACCCACGGCAAGCAGACGGGCAACGCCCGGAATCTAGGCGACTTTATTGTGGACACGTTCGATGGATCACGGAATCTGCCGTTGCTGCTGCCGTGCGGCAATCTGGCTACGGACACGCTGCTCTCGAAGCTGGCGGAGAATGGTTTCTGTGTGGATGCGTGCGAGGTGTACGAGACGAAGTGCAACCCACAGCTGGCCGAGTGTATGGATCGTGCCCTGAAGGCGGAGAATATTGAGTTCCTGGCATTCTTCTCACCCTCCGGTGTGAATTGTGCGTATGAATACTTCAAGGCCCGCAACATTGCGCCGGATCAGTGGAAGCTGGTGGCCATTGGGCCTAGCACTCGCCGCGCCCTGGAGTCGCTGGGGCTGAAGGTACTGTGTACCGCAGAGCGCCCAACGGTGGAGCATCTGGTGAAGGTGTTGCTCAACCCGCAGGAGAGTCGCGAGCGCCTGCTGCGGGAGCGCCTGGACGTAGCATAAGTGTTTTTGTTTTAATTACTTCGAGTTGAATCTATCTCCATCTATCTCTATCTCTCTCTCTTTCTCTATGTGACCTCGATGAGTACAAAATTAGTGAGCCCAGCATGAAATGTTGCGCATTATAAGTTATTTTTGACGCCCGATACTCACCTCAATTGAAGCTAAATAAATTTGTTTTTTTCGTATCTAAATTTACATTTGGCCGACATTTTTCAAATACCAGCTGCACCCGCCAACACAGTTATCGATAGGCTGTGGGGGCAAGCAATTAAATACCAGCAGTAAAAAATAGCTGCCGATAAAGTAAAATAATCCTACGATATCGAAATTATATCGAGTTCTTTCTTTTATGTATCGAAATATGTATCCATCTCTAATATAACTGATCGCCAGCTCGCTTTCCTTTAACTAAGTTACTAATAATAATAACAAATAACAGCGCGTTGGGGAATTTATATAAAAATTGGATTCAAATTACATCGCATTGCGCATTGAGTTACCGTCACACACACATACGCAAGTCTGTTTAGGCACAAAGGTGAAGGCACCCAATAACAGTTCGCCATACTTTTACACACTGAGAAGGGCCGCCAGCAGACAGTGGTGCTGTCTTTATTCGTGCTTTGGGTGACAAAATTATCGATACTATCGATTATGGTGCAGCTCTAGCGACAGCGACAACGAAGTAATTTTTGTGCTTTTGTGCCCGCCGCGCCACTGAAGCAGTTTTATTCTATTATTTTTTTTTCGTTCAACTTTTGTGTGATTTTCTGCGCATTTATAGCCAATAACAAACAGCGATAGTATTTTGGCGTTTGTGAGTGTATGTTGCGTTGTACATAAAACTAAAACGAAAGAAAAACTCCACGCAAACACTTTGTGCCGGTGTCAGCCAAAATTGCAGGTGAGTTCAGCCAAGTTAATTGGTTTTCATATCCTACATCTTTTCCTGGTATATGCAGTCGTACGAGAGTACCTAGTACAGAAGGTTTTCTGTTTTTTAAATATTTTTTTTTTGTGTGTGATCATGCAGCATTAAAAGCAATAAAAATGAAGTGGGATGGCAAGAAAGCAACCAAGAACCGAGCAAACGGAATGAGTGTGTAACGCAATGTTGAAATACCGGTGTGCGCGGCGTCAGTGTGCATACATGTGCCAGTATGCGTGTGTGTGTGCCAGTATGCGTGAATGTGTGCTAGTGTGAGAGAGAGCGCGACTTGAGTTGAATTGGTTTGAGTGAGTCATTAACCGGCCTGCGCGCCGCTTTGTCAACGTTTTCTGTTTTTTGGCATTGCAAATTGGCAAATTTGCCGTTGACACTTTTTATATTTGTTGTATTTACTTGCTAAAACATGCAACTAACACAGTTTCGTTGTCTGCCAGCGAACAGCAACAACAACAAATCAGATAGTGAGAGTGAGAGTGAGAGACATTTCGCTGCATGCTACGGCTTAGCTCTCTTCGCCGCTGCTACTGCCGCCGCCGTTTTAAATCAAATTCGCCAAAAAGTCTGTTAAATATTTGAATTTCAGTGCCAAGCTTGAGTTCTCCCTAAAGTATTAAGCGCGCGCGCTGTGCGCTAGAGCGAGACAATGGAAAATAATGTGAGAACTAATATATGCATTTTGTATTTTGTGTACATGTATAAATATATATATACTTATGTATGTATATATTTGTTATTGGTGTGCCGGCTGCCATAAATCACTGTCGCTGCCCGCCGGTTACCTTTTGCTGCTTATTATTGTTGCGTTAGGCAAAGCGTGTGAAAATTGCAGTCAATGCCGCCTCGCAACCACCGTTTTTCCAGCGGGTCGTTCAAAGTTTTTCCACTTACTCACTTACTCATACACGCATACATACATATACACGTTATGTTGCGTCGTCTTGTATTGTGTTACTGTCTTTCTTTGTGTCTGCAGGTCGCTTACTTCCGTTTTATGTGTATGTGTGTCTATTCATATGTATGCTAGTCCAACAACAGCATATTATCTCATTAGCATAAAGACGCATTTTCCAGTTAGAAGTCTTAACATTGTTCCAATTTATAAGCTGAACCATTTTACAGAATTTGTTTGGATTCTGTGTGAGTTTTGAATACGGTCTAATAAATTCACATTTTACCAACACATATGTATATTCCTATATATGCACATATGAGTACATATACATATACATGTGTGCTAGGTGGATTAAAGAGAACAAAACGAAATTCCCAATCCTGATTTGACTAAGAAAAAAACCTGGCAGCACTGGTTTGATGGCTGGCCTGCTTCTACCATACACACATGCACGCATGCATATATGTGTGAATGCATGTGTGTGTTTGTGTACGAAAGTTTCGAAATTTATTGAACCGGGACATTAGTTAAACGCTTTGCTGTTCTGGTTCTTTCTGATTTGTTCAGCATCTCAATGGCTTGACATTCCCATGCCATTTGTAACGGTTTGTCTTGTGGCAGCAAGAAAGCAGCGCAAAAGAGGCAAAACAAGAAATAAATAACCACAAAAGCGAAGCCTATGGGCACCCAAGTTCTAAGCTCTAAAAGCAGCCAAGATCTTCCCACTTTCGTGCTCTTCGCCGTGCGCGCAAGGCAAAAAGACAAAAAACATTGAGCCCGTTTGAGAGAGCGAGGGGCAGGCGCTGGCAAATGATGTAGCAGCGGATGCTGTGGCGCAGTTGTGCTCAGTTGTTTACACTCGCTCACTTACTGGCAACGCCAATGGGCTCTCGCTCTCTCTCTCTCTGTGTGTGTGTGTGTGTGTCTGTTCATTCATTATTTGATTTATCGGCCAAAAGTAGAACGATTCGTAATTAGCTTGTTGAACATGCCCAAATCGGGCGGGTGACCGAAGCTGTGTTAAAATCTCTTTCTATCTCTATCTCTCTCACTCTCGCTTACTCTCTCTCTTGTTCTTTCTCTTTCCCTCTTCCATCGCTCTCATCAATTAACACCTTATGTATATATATCTCCACATATTCATTGCTGTTCATCCAGCAAACTGAGACAAAACCAGTTTGTGTGCCAGTGTTGCCATTTTGTGCGAAATTTGCGTAGCTACCCAACGATTTTCTGTTGTTTTTATTGGGCTGAAGAGAAGAAAACAAAACGCCGAGAAGAAGCAACAGCAGCCACAGGTAAGCACCCAACGTTGACGTTGCTGCTACTGATGTGCGCGTGTGATGTATGTATATATGTGAGCGTGAAATATAAATTAGCACAATAACACTTGAATATTCGATATTAATTTGTGTTAAATATTCTAAAAATAAGTTAATTTGAGTTGGCAATTAAAGTTATAAAATTTATTATTGTGTAATTAGGACTGATGGCACTACAGGTTGAAGATATGCAAATTGTTTTTGGCTTTCACTTTTCATGCACGTGCCATCCCTCGTGACTAGTAATGTGCACATCACTAGTTGCGCCAACGACGCGACGCTATTGTTGTTCGTTCGTCGACGCCTTGGTCTTCGGATATTGTGTTCTGCTCCTCAGCTGCGCCTATGTGTGTGTGTGTGTGTGTGTGTTTGGCATTGAATTCGCTGAAATTTTGCACAGCGCAGCAACAAACACGAAGCAGCAGAAGACGCGCTGACGTCATCGACTATGCCGCCTGTTGAATTTATTTTCGAGGCGAATATTTTTAGGTAATGGAAATAAAACAGAATTTACAATTTGCATTTTGAGTGCAGACAGCGATGCGACAGCGTCGACGCAGAAGTTACAGTCACCCAAAAAATTCGAACTTGGTTTCGAACTTGAAAACAAAATCCTCTCTCGGTCTGTCGTTCTCTCTTCATGTTTTTTGGTACTTTCACGTGCGCTAGCCATGAAGCGCAACAGTCGGCTGCGCAGCCGTCGCTGTTTCGGCACTCTCACTCAGTTTGTTTGCTCATGCGTCGACTGCGCAGCGTTAGGATAGATTTTCATTTTTATTTTATTGTTAGGTAAAGGGAGAGGGGGAGGGGCTGCTCAACAAGTGTGCAGCGACTTGCTATTGTTGTTATATCGTATTTTATGTAAATTAACCAAAACGGGTTGTTGATATGCTTGACTAGTTAAGCGGGCGCAGCGGCGCGTAGAGTACAGCACCAAAGCAAAGCCGGTGGTGGTGGCAGCGGCGGCGTAGACGGTGGCTGCATTACGTAACAAAACAAAACTAATACGAAACGAAAAACGTTAAAAGTGGGCGCCTGCTTTTAAATTTCAATGCGCCAGTGTTGCCACCTGACAGCAGCTCCACTGACACTTGTTACGCTCTGCGATCTCTCGCTCTCCACTTCGCTGTGCATATATGTGAGTCTGCCTGTATGTGTGTGAAGCTTCAAGTCGGCCGCGTGACTTGCTTTTTGGGCTGCTGGCCGGCCATTACAATTTCGTGGAGCATCTCTCGAGAATCGAAAGCCACCCCTTCCACCCCGTATCGCCCTCCCCATCCGTTGCACACAGATAAAAAGCGTTGTATGTTCGTATTCGCTGCGCTGCGCTGCGACGTCGGCTCATTTCGCATTTGACTCTCGGTACGTAAAGTCAGCGGACAGCGCAGCAGCAAAAAAAAAAATTGTCGAAAAATACAACAGTTGTGAGTGTTTATTTTTTTTTTTTTTTTTGTTTGCACGTGTGCAAGTACGAGTGCAAAAGCGCGAGCGCAGCTGCGAGCGAAAGCTTTGGCGCGCGCTTTTTATCGTTTTATAATTTGAGTATTATTTGCATGTAAGTACAAATATTTGTGTACTTCTGGAACTGAAATTTAAGCATGTGTGTATGTGTGAGAGTTTGTGTATTGTTGTATGACTGGGTGGGTGGCAACGCCTTAAAAGTGCTGTGCTATCACTTGCAGCAGCAGCAGCGGCTCTGCCCAATCAGAACTGCCCTTAACCCACTTAGTGAAGTGTGAGAAATTAATCAACGTCAAAGCAAAAGCTTTCTGAGAGACCCGCTGCGTCATCAACGTTGTTTAGTGGGTCAATCGCCGTTCGACCTCCGACGCCGCCCCAAAACCGATCCACATACAACTTTAACCAGTTCTTCACCTCCCCTCCACTGCCCTCGCCTGTCCCATCGTCAAACCCCTCCCATAGAGCAATGCCTGGCGCCCTCGTTATCTTATCTGGGAACATTGGACAAAAATGTCTTTAAGCATTGCGTGCAGCACACTTAAAACGTTGGCGTCAACGGCGACGTTAACATTTACGATATGCGATCTCTTGCTCTTGCTCCTGCTTTTGTTCTTTCTCTTTCCAACAATACCACCATTAAAAACTGCGTGGGAGAGCTTTTACTTTTGCTCGAAATGCTTTTGAAAGTGAACCGATGCTGGCTGCGACGCTGACTGACAGACAGTCGAGAGTCAAGCTGTGTTGACCTTACAATGAGAGTACAAGCGAGGGTAATGCGTAAGGAGCGAAGTGAACTGGAGAGATGAATGTGGAGAGTGTAATTCAAGGCAGACACAGAAGCAACAACAACACTACAGCGATTGTTCATTCTCCTTTACTTATGCTTTTGTGAGTGATTTTGAATTGCAATTGTAGATTCCACTGAACTTAACCTCGAAAGGGCGTCCATCATATGTTGTTAAATATTTCTGTATATCAAAATACCTTATTTTATTTACACATAAAATAAGAGTACTGATTAATAACTGAATTTGGACTATTTAGATATGTTAAGGCATATATCATGTGGTAATCATGTGAGTAGAACATACAAATAGAGGAAGAAAAACCCCGTGGAGTATAAATTCACTTGCAATATACACATATAGTTTTATGGGCGCATTTATAAATATTTCTCACGTTTCGTCAACCTTCCAGCTCAATCATTACTTCATCATTTTGTTGCTTTTTTTTTCCTTAATATATATTTTTTTATCAAAGCAAAGCAGAGGAACAACAAA